GACCATTCAATATGCTTATTTTTTATCGTCTACTCTTTTTTTTAAAGTTTCTTTTGTTTTATTATATTTAAAGTTAAATGTAATTTTAAAATTCTGATTAATCTTTGCAGATACAGACTTAAATTTTTTAAATTCTTTTCAGTTTTTTTAGTTAGGTTAAAATGTATTTTTTAAACCCTCTACATGTAGTAACATTTAATTTTCATTATTATTCTTACTTTTTCGGTGAAGAAGTGGGAATATAGTGATGTTAATTTGTACATCACATGAGAAAGTATTTAAATCTTGGGTGCATGTTATTCACCATTATTGGTTAACAGCTACTTACCAACTTAGTATTGACCTTAACCCAATTTAAATATTGTTTAAATTAATTTCTGGTGAATGGCTAGTTTAGGGCTAGTAATAATTTTATCTTTCTTTAAATTGGTTTTGTTGAGAATCAAACCCAGAGCCATTTATATGCAAAACATATACTCTGACATGGAGCACAGTCCTACCCAATAATAACTTTAAATGCAGTAAATGAGTTGTTGCTAGGAGCCACTTCAGGTTATGGATTGAAAAGATTTGGGGGGAGGTTCATATATATATATATATACAAATAAGGTGAACTTTGAGGAATTGAAAACAGGTAACAGATTTAGCTGACCACTTTGAAAAGAGTGATGTTAGAAAACAGTTTGACATTGTTGCAGATTAAAACCACTACTTTCCCCAAAAAAGATTGAGTTATAGTGAATACTTCATTTGTATTAAAAAATGTGAATTATAATGTTTTTATATGAGCAATATAATCTTGCTAATAGAATTCATTTTCAGTCTTGTTAATATATATTACTAGTTGATCCTTTTTCAATAGAGTACATTGATTCTTCTTTTTATACTTCCTTGACATAAATTAAACCTTATTTCAAAGGATGGATGTTTATTATTTGTGTGCATAGTTGTGCGTAAATTATGCCAGATTGGTAAAAAACAGGTTTTTAGAACTCCCCCATTCTTCAAATAAAACAATGATATTAATGGAGAATAACTTGTTACAATTAGAATTAATATTACTCAATCCATAGCAGCATTTGCACCAAATCCATAATTTCCCAGTGTAAACACATTAGTGGTGAGCTTTGTTGCTTATCCTTCTTTAGTAGATAATTACTTCCTTATCAGAGAGTTGCTGTGTTTGGGGGAGCAGGTAAATGCCAGCGTAGAGTTACTAGTGGCAGTTTAATTAGGTTTTTTTTTTTATAAATGACTTGAGCATGGGAGCTATAGTTTTACAAAATTTAAATTTGCAGTTAATCTTTTGTGAAGGTTTTTCATTCCATGTCTGCAGGTTTTTCTTGTTCTTGAGTAAACCTTTCTAAAAATTTTGTTCAGGGAGTGGGTGGTGAAGGGAAAAAAAATGCTTTTTTACATGTGGTTAAGGGATATTTGTTTTTAGTTCTGTCACATGGTTATTTGTGTACAGAACAATGAATAATAAGAACAGATCTGATCCAGATGTGCAAACAGGGTAAAATTCATTTTAGCCGATCCTAAGCAATAGTAAAGTATAATGTGTACTGAATACTATTACAGTGCCTGAGCTTCCTTACTACTCTGAAGTTGGGATGCCTTCTAGGAGGCGATAGGAGTGAAGCTAAAACTATCATCTCTCTCTGTCAAATTAATGCTGTAACATACTGTAAGAATGTGCTGTTTGATACCAGTGATGTCTGTCTCTCTCTTTTTTTGTCACTATAAGATACAAAGGTTCAAAGCTGATTGTGGTCAGGTTACAGTCATACAAACATTGATAATCTCTCAGTACCTGTATTGCAAAACATAATGTCCCAAAGAGACGGAAGGAAAGTGCTTGTTATAGAGACAGGAGGGAGGTCTTTAAAAGCTGGAGTGTTCTCTGACCAAAGTGATAGTACTGATAAAGCATTGCCTTGCATGCGTCCAAATCCCAAATTGATCCCGGGAACCACATATGGTCCCACAAACACCACCAAGAAGATTGCTGATTACAGAGCAAGGAGTAAGCCCTGAGCACAGCCAGCAGTGGCCCAAAGACAAAAAATCTGACTGTTTAATGACTATATTTAACAGTACTATCTAAACAATATATGGTTTATTTATTACAATATATAAAAACAACCTGGGTTTGATTCCTCCACCCCTCTCGGAGAGCCTGGCAAGCTACTGAGAGTATCCCGCCCACACGGCAAAGCCTGGCAAGCTCCCTGTGACATATTTGATATGCCAAACACAGTAACAAGTCTCACAATGGAGATATTAGTGGTGCCCGGTCGAGCAAATCGATGAACAATGGGAGGACAGTGCGACAAATAATATAACCAGTGCTAATTGCAAAAGATAATAAATATTAAATAGAAAGAAAAATAAGTCTCTTGGAGCCCAAGCATTAGTACAGGGGGTGCTTTGCCTTGCACATGGCCAACCTAGGTTTGATCCTTGGCATCTCATATAATCCCCCAGCACTGCCAGGAGTAATTCCTGAGTTCAGACCCAGGAACATCACTGGGTATGATTCTCACCATCCCTTCCTGCAAAAAAAAAAACCAAAGTCACTTGTCACAAAGTTGAGTAAGCATCTAGAACGACAGTATGGGTACATACATTGCATGCCACAGACTCTGGTTTGATCCCTGGTACCATATGTTTGCTCCCACATCACTGAGTTTGGCCATCCGGGCCCCCCAAAATTGCCTGATGTGGCTTTGCAGACCCGTGGGGTGGCCTGGGTAATCCCCAGCATTACAGTCTGAGCAGCACCATACCCGTAGGCTCTTTGTATTGAATGGCCAGCTGGATGGGAGGCCCCAGACTCCTGAGTACTGCTTGCAGGGCGCACACGGTGGGACAGTAGTCCCTAATTGGTTCAAGTATGTTCAGCAGTCCACTTTACCGTAACACTTCTCAGGACTATTAATGTGCTAACGTGTATTATTAATCTAAGTGGTGTCCTTTTCAACCTCCTCCTTCCCCCCCCCCCCCCGCCCTGCTATTATAACCTGAAAAATTGGGTAAGGATAGCATTAGAAAAGTAGTGTTCAAGCCTGTATTTCCAAAGCTTGCCCCTGTCTAGCTTTGAATCCAGATGATTCTTTGTTTTAAGACTATCCTATGCATTTTAGGATGTTTACCAGCATGTTTTGGGGCTGCCTACTAGATGACAGTAGCATACATCCTTCCCTTACGATAATCAGAAGAAACTGAGATCCTGTAATGTCTCCCAAAGGACAAATTCCACTGATGACCCTGACTTACCATAGTTCAGCTTAATTATTTTTCAGCTTTATGGTGTGAAATCAATACTCTTGCAATAGAAGCAGTACTTTGACTTTTTTGGGGGGGGAGGGTCACATCCGGTGTCACACCAGGAGCTCAGGGGTTGCTCCTGACTCTGCACTCAGGAATCACTCCTAGCAGTGCTCAGGGTTCCACATGGGATGCTGGGAATCTAACCTGGGTCGGCTGCATGCAAGGCAAACGCCCTACCTGCTGTGCTTTATCACTCCAGCCCAGTATTTTGAATTTTTTTTTTTGGCTTTTTGGGTCACACCCAGTGATGCACAGGGGTTACTCCTGACTCTGCACTCAGGAGTTACTCTTGGCGGTGCTCAGGGGACCATATGGGATGCTAGGAATTGAACCTGGGTCTGCCGCATGCAAGGCAAACGCCCTACCCGCTGTGCTATCGCTTCAGCCCGGTATTTTGAATTTTTAAGTTTTGGTCTTTTGGGGATGGCAGTGGGCTAAGATTTTTTTTTTTTTTTTTTTTTGTGGTGTGGAGCAGTGTCAGTGAGCCACAGGTTTCTGCCAAGTTATATCAGCAGCAAGTGTGAACAACCAGTGACCACCTGCACAGCAGGACTTGGAAAACTTTTCCCACTCAACCTGTAATTTACTTAAATTTTTTTTACATGTTCCCAACTAGATAAAATAGGCATCCAAGCCAAACACTGATAAGTTTTTTTTTAAAGCTTCATGACTCTGTATCTGTTTTTATTTTATTTATTTTGTTTATTTATTTATTTTTGCTTTTTGGGTCACACCCTGCGATGCACAGGGGTTATTCCTGGCTCATGCACTCAGAAATTACTCCTGGCGGTGCTCGGGGGACCATATGGGATGCTGGGATCGAACCTGGGTCGGCTGCGTGCAAGGCACACACCCTACCCTCTGTGCTATCATTCCTGCCCCCTGATAAGTTTTTTTAAAACAAAACTTTTGTGATCCTCAGTTAACAAAATTAGGCCCTAGCATAGGCTGTGTTTGCAGCATTTTTAAATATTGTGTTTCATATTTTCATATCCACTTTATGCACTTTCAGTGCGTTGTTCACTAAGTTATATGAGAGATTTAAACTTGCTATATATGCAGTGGCTTGCAGGTAGGAGAAAAAAAGAAAAAAGATTCTATGCAATTTTTATGTTTCTATGTAATCCTTTGTGTTACGTTGTTTTGCTTAATTCCAGACACATTTAAGGTTGGATTGGCTAAGCTGTGATGATCATAGGCTATATGTGCTAATTTCATTTTCTGCTTAACAATATTTTCAATTTATGATAGGTTTATCAGTATATATATACTAATTGTTAGTTAAAGGAAAATTGTAATTTAGGATTTCTATTCTGGATTAATAGTGTGATATTTCTGGAAGTTTTAAAGAATATGTTGTCACTTTATTATAAATCGGTAATAATAATTTCTGAAAATTTCCTTTTTTGTAAGAAACAATATTCTAGAAAGTAGAATACAGCCAAAGGAGGTTTTACCTAGACATTCTGTTTTAATTAACTTTCTGGTTCTTTATTTCTTGGCCCGATTTCCCATTAATTATTATGTAGAAATTTTGGAAAATTATGTGACGGATAAAAACATATATTCTGTTTTGAAGGAGTAGTCCAATTTAAATTGATCTGAATCTGAGGATATAGTACATTTCTAAAATCTCTTTTTCCTCTTTTCCCCCTTTTTTCATGCAGGGCTATTTTCTTCTTTTTGAATCTATGTTAGATTCTGTACTTTATGCAAAGAACAAATACTTGGCAAAAGGAGGATCGGGTGAGTATAAAATTCAAGTTTTAATAATGTACTTTTAGTTTGACAGAACCAAATGAACCTTTGGATTTCAAATAACCTATGCATGACTGAGAAAGTTCCCAATAGAGATGAGAAATGTTTCCATTAGATAAAGCTTAAAGATATTCGTTTACTATACTGTTGATGGTAGAACATTATATAAGATATTCAGGACTCCAGGTTAATGATATTTTCAAGAACACTTTTTATAAAAATATGGAAGACTTGATTTTGGAAGCTATTTGCTTTTCAAATAAAATTCCAACCAAAGCTTTTTTTTGTTTGTTTGTTTTTTGGGTCACACCCGGTGTTGCACAGGGGTTACTCCTGGCTCTGCACTCAGGAATCATTCCTGACGGTGCTCAGGGATCCTGGGAATCGATCCCAGGTCGGCCGCGTGCAAGACAAATGCCCTACCCGCTGTGCTATTGCTCCAGCCCCAACCAAAGCTCCTTTGATCTTTTCATTTTTCATTTCATCATCCTGTTAATCGTCGATTGCCTCGAGCAGGCCCCAGTAACGTCTCTTTCATCCTAGCCCTGAGATTATATTCACGGCTCTTTAGGAGAATGAGACTCATCATTGTTACTGGTATTTGGCATATTTGGTAGGCCACGGGGAGTTTGCCAGACTCTGCCCTGTGGGCAGGCTACATTCGAAAGCCTGCAAGTTTGTCCAAAGTAGGAATGAGATAATAAGATATCATAAAGAAAAGTTCTAATAAGATGTCGCGCGGCCGCAAATGCGGCCGCGCGGTTCCGGGATCTGGATTTTATAGTCTCTGAGTCTTGGCCGCTGATGGGATTACACGGCGCCAGGGGGCCAGGTGGTGGGTGTGACCCCCACCTACTGGAATTTGGAGGATCTGGGTGGAAGATGCTCGACTCCAATTCGAGTAGGCTTGGAGGTCTCGGCCCCGGAACCCGTGTGGCTTTGTCCCTCTGCCAGTACCTTCAGGTGTGCGGAGAGTGGTCTCAGCATGGTGGTGGCTGGTCCTGGAGGTCTCCGGCTGCCGTAGCCCTGGCCGGGGCGGGGAGGAAAGCTCAACCCGCTCCCCTCCAAGGGACTCCGGGAAGGAACACCGAGGCGCGGGGGCAGAGACTGCACTGCTCTCGTCCGGGATCTGGATTTTATAGTCTCTGAGTCTTGGCCGCTGATGGGATTACACGGCGCCAGGGGGCCAGGTGGTGGGTGTGACCCCCGCCTACTGGAATTTGGAGGATCTGGGTGGAAGATGCTCGACTCCAATTCGAGTAGGCTTGGAGGTCTCGGCCCCGGAACCCGCGTGGCTTTGTCCCTCTGCCAGTACCCTCAGGTGTGCGGAGAGTGGTCTCAGCATGGTGAGACCACTCGTCTCCCAGACGAGAGCAGTGCAGTCTCTGCCCCCGCGCCTCGGTGTTCCTTCCCGGAGTCCCTTGGAGGGGAGCGGGTTGAGCTTTCCTCCCCGCCCCGGCCAGGGCTACGGCAGCCGGAGACCTCCAGGACCAGCCACCTTTGATCTTTATTTATTTTTTTTTTAAAGGATTATACAACATGATCAAGTGGGATTTATTTCAGGGACGCAAAAGAGATTAAATATATGCAAATCAATTGATATGATATAACATACCACCTACAAGAAAGCTAAAAAACATGATTATTTGGTTTCTGGAACTGCAAAATGAAAGATCAATAAAAATCATATGAGCATATCAACAGATGAACAAAAAGCTTTCAGCAAGATTTAACACTCATGAATTTTTGAAAATCTTTTTTTTTTTTTTTTTTTTGCTTTTTGGGTCACACCTGGTGATGCACAGGGCTCACTCCTGGCTTATGCACTCAGGAATTACTCCTGGTGGTGCTCAGGGGACCATATGTGATGCTGGGAATTGAACCCGGGTCAGCCACGTGCAAGGCAAACATCCTACCTGCTGTGCTATTGCTCCAGCCCCTGAAAATCTTTATTTAGGATAAAATCTAAACATTATATGGTGCTCAGGGGGCTTGATTCTCAGTCAACCAGACTGCAGAGTCAATGCAAGGGCTTGAGGATGCCAAATAGTAGCCTCTGTGGTGATGAACCACTGGGGCATCTCAGCACTACTTACATCTCCAGTGATGCTTGAGGGTCAATGTAGTGCTGAGGACTGAACTAGGGTTCAATCTTTTTTTTTTTTTTTAATTTATTTATTTATTGAATCACTGTGGGAAAAGTTACAGAGCTTTCGGGTTTAGGTCTCAGTCATGTAAATATCAAACACATTTCCCTTTACCAGTACTTATTTTTAACCCCGAACCCCAATAGACCCCCACCTCCCACCCCTCCCAATTCTTGTGAGGCAGATGAGTTCTAGTTAATACTCTATCTACTTTGACTAGATAGATTGTTTCGATAGAAGATGCACAATTATTGTTTAGAGTTTACGACCCACCCCCCCCACAATCAGATATGCTGAAACAGCGTTGTGAAATGATTTGCTTTCTACGACTTGGTTTAAGAATAAAATGATGTCTTTGAATTTCTGCTATTTTACTTACTGACCCTAGAAGAATTTCTATTAAAAGTTAGATAGTTAGGAGACTGGCTTCTGTGCCCTGGAGTCGTGGCCTTGCCGGAGAGCCGCTCGTGGGGGGCAGCTGGAGACCTCGGTGGGGTGTGGGGGACGGCCCACAAAGCCCCCCTTCCCATGAGGTCCCCGCCGCTTCCGCCGAGCCCGGCTCAAACCTGCTGTCCACAAGGCTCCCGTGCGGCCGCCATCTTTCTTTCCAGAGAGGAGCGGGCGGGCCGGTCAACGCCCTTTCCCCTTCGGGCAGGCTTGGTGGCGCGGTTTAACACATAGTCCATTTGCTTTTCTGCTCCAAGCTGCTGGTTCTCTGTGCTAAGTCCTTGTGCCTCCGGGGCCGGGGCCGTGCCGGAGAGCCGCTCGTGGGGGGCAGCTGGAGACCTCGGTGGGGCGTGGGGGACGGCCCACAAAGCCCCCCTTCCCATGAGGTCCCCGCCGCTTCCGCCGAGCCCGGCTCAAACCTGCTGTCCACAAGGCTCCCGTGCGGCCGCCATCTTTCTTTCCAGAGGTCCTTTGATCTTTAATGGCAGTTAGGATTTTTTGTTATTGCTTGGTTATTTGTTTTTTGTTTTTGAGCTACAATTGGCTATGCTCAGGGTATATTCCTGGCTCTGTACTCAGGGAATCACTCCTGGTGGGCTTGGGGGACGAAATGGGGTGCTGGAGATCAAACTCAATTCACCCGCATGTAAGACAAGCCCTTTCTTGATGTACCATCTCTCTGTACCCTGGTTGTTGTGTTTTGTTTTACATTTTAGTAAAATATTTCATAGATGTTGGAGATTATTTTCTTTAGGATAAATAAAAAAAATTTTTTTAAATTGAATCACCGTGAGATACACAGTTACAACGTTGCTAATGATTGGGTTTCAATTACATTATGTTCCAGTACCCACCCCTTCACCAGTGTACATTTTCCACCACCAATAGCCCCAGCTTCTCTCCCTCCCACCCACATCGTCACCCACTGCCTCAGTGGCACACTCGCCTCGCTCCTTTCTTCCTTCCCTCCCTCCCTTCTTTCATTTCCTCCCTTCCTTCATTCCCTCCCTCCCTCTCTTCTTTTGGACATTAAGCTTTGCACTACAGATTCTGAAGTGTATGTGTATATACACACACATATATCCCTTTACCTTTCAATATTCAGTTCTTGTCCAGAGTGATCATTTCTAACTATTACTGTCATATTGATTCCTTCCCTTCGCTATCCTAACTGTTCTTTGCCACCCAATCATTGTCCAGATCTCTTGACCCCTGTTTTTCCTGGCCTTGAATAATTAGTCTCACATTATTATTTTTTTATACCCACAAATGAGTGGAATGATTGCATTCTATATCTGTCCCTCTCCTTTTGACTCATTTCTCTTAGTGTGGCACTCTCCATAAGTAAAGTAAAGTAAAAGCCCTCCCGTTGATCATCGATTTGCTCGATCGGGCCCAGTAATGTCTCCATTGGAGACTTTGTTGTTACTGTGGCATATCGAATACTCTCGGTAGCTTGCCGGGCTCTCCGAGAGGGGCGGAGGAATCGAACTCGGGTCGGCCATGTTGGCTGCGTGCAAGGCAGACGCCCTACCCGCTGTGCTATCACTCCAGCCCTCTCCATACCTATCCATTTATAAGCAGGTTTCATTACTTCATTTTTCCTAACGGCTGCATAGTATTCAGTCATCGTTCAGTTGAACCCTTGTTTCTTTATCCAGTTGTATGTTCTTGGGTACTTGGGTTGCTTAGGATAAATTTTGTATAGCATCACTAAACATATGAATCTCGCTTCTCTGTGAATAAGAACATTTATGGATTCCACTAAGCTTTTAAAGCACAGCCCACTCAATCAGGTGTTTTTGTTTTAGTTTTACGCTGAGGGAGAGCACACAAACAAGAGCTTGGGGGTCCAGGCTACTCTGGTGCAGCCCAGGGACCATCATGCAGTACGTGGATCAAACCGCGGACCTGCACATACATGACACGTGCTCTATCTCTTGAGTCACGTCCCCAGCCCCCAACCAGTATTTAAAAAAAATTAGCTCCACATACATTTGGAAGGCTTTCTCTCAGCAGCCCCGGTGAACTTTTAAGTAATGCTATATATACTCAGAATTGAGATGGTGTTTTTCAATCCTTTTGTTGTAGACTGTTGCATACAAAGTATTTTGTTTAGGACAAAGATTATGTTTTCTTCATCTTTGACTCTTCAGTGAGTTCCACAGCTCCTGAAACATTGAGCATCATTTTATTTATTGAATCCGCTCACTAAAATTCAGTTGAACATCATACGTCTCCTTTTACTCACTTCTAATGTACGTTTCCTTCTGAAAGCTTTAGGGTCACTGTCACTGTCCTCCCATTGTTCATTGATTTGCTTGAGTGGGCCCAGTAACATTGTGAGACTTGTTACTGTGTTTGGCATATTGAATACGTCACGGGTAGCATGCA